CGCGCTCCACCCGGGCGAAGACGAGAGGGGAGAGGGACGAGGGAGGGGGGAGGCTGGGGGAGGAGAGGGGGGGAGTGGGAAGGAAGGGGCGAGGGAGGGGGAGGGGGAGGAGATGGGGCGAGGGGGAGGGGGAGGGGGAGGGAAGGGGGAGGAGATGGGGCGAGGGGGAGGGGCGAGGGAGGGGGAGAAGGAGGAGGAGTTGGGGGATCGGGGGCCGGCGTGGGGAGGGAGAGAAGACACCAGCGAGAGGGGCCGAACTCGCCAGGACATCAGCGGCGCCGCGTCGGACGTGGCGATGCTCCTGGTTCACAGGCCCTCTCGGGTCGGGTGGCCGGCATTGCCACGGGGATTTTACATTCGAAGAAGGAAAAACGCCATAAACATAAATGTTTGGCGCTCCGCGCGGGTTTCTTGGATCCGCGCTGGTTCCCTCCTTCGGCTGCGCCTCCGGCGCCGCCACGGGCGCGCTCCGCGCGCCAGGGAGGGGGGGGGTCCAGCGCAGATCCAAGAAATCCGCCGCGCGGAGCGCCAAAAGTTTTATGTTTACGGCGGTTATGATTATTCTACTCGTCGGTCCTCCTCTGAGTTATCTTGGGGGGCCAGGCTCCCTGGCCCCACAGCCGCCCGCGATCCCATCCGATGCGATTCGGTTCGCCGGCCGGGGCCGCGGTTTCGATTCGATGCTGCTCGGGGAGGAGGAGGAGGAGGAGGAGGAGGAGGAGGAGGAGGAGGAGCAGGAGCAGGAGCAGGAGCAGGAGCAGGAGCAGGAGGAGCAGAAGCAGGAGGAGGAGGAGGAGCAGAAGGAGGAGGAGGAGGAGGAGGAGGAGCAGGAATAGCCAGGCGCGGCGGTCCGATGCCGACTCGGCCCGGGATGGTGCGCCTGCGAGGCGGTCCGTCTCCGAGCCGCTCGCACCTCGTCGGCTGAGGGTCCGCCTGTGGTCCAGGGGGCGTCGGTGGAGGGTCTCTCCGAAGGGCTTAGGCGACCTCCTCCTCCTCCTCCTCCTCCTCCTCCTCCTCCTCTCCTCCTCCTCCTCCTCCTCCTCCTCCTCGTCCTCCTGTTCCCCTCCTCCTGCTCCTCCTCCTCCTCCTGTTCCTCCTCCTCCTCCTCCTCCTCCTCCTCCTCCTCGTCCTCCTGTTCCTCCTCCTCCTGCTCCTCCTACTACTACTACTACTACTACTACTACTACTACTACTACTACTACTACTACTACTACTACTACTACTACTACTACTACTACTACTACCCCTCCCTCTCCCCCTCCCCCTCCCCCTCCTCCACCTCCTCCTCCTATCTCCTCCTCCACCTCCTCCTCCTCGGGTCGCCGACGGCCCTGGGGTAAACCGTGCAGGCGACGGTAGGGGCTGGTATCGGTGGCCAGGGGGCGGCCACGGCCACGGCCACGGCCACGGCCAGGGGAGGGAGCGGAGAAGTCGAGAGGGAGAGGGCGGAGGGGTATTGCCAGGAGGATGGGAGGGGGAGACGGCATGGGGCGAGGGACATCGGTGAGGGGGGGAGGGTGGTCAGGCGATCGCAAACATGGATCAAGGGGGCGTGGATTAGCGGCGGGTCCCGTTTCCATGAGAAATCGCCGATTTCCGCCGCCGATCGAGGCGGCACCGGCCGCATTTTTGGGAGGGCACTTCCCCCGATCAATGGATTTGGCGACCGCGCGCCAAATCCATTGGTCGCTAATACATGTTTGCGCGCCCCCGAGGTGAAGACAGCAGGGGGAGGGGAAGGGGAGTTGGAAAACTGCTGCACGTCGCGCAATGTGCACCACACTCAACTGACAGCTCATGTTTTGCGCTGCTGCCCAGCTGTCTGCGATGAGTCCCGCCATCGTGCCAGCCCAGCACTCTGGGTGGCGACTGCTCGAAAAGTGCACAGGAAGCCGTAACGTGTGACACATCGTGCCCCGACCCGTCGGAGAGCCGTAGAGTGCGACCGCTATTCCGCATCGTGTCGGGTTGGATCCCTTCGTGCTCGTCGTCGTAATCGTCCCTCTCTCTTCTTCCCTCGTCAAAACGAAAGACGACGGATCCTGAATTGTCCAGATTTCCAAGTGATCCCGACTCTCCTCCCTCTGTTTCCTCTGACCCCTCTGTTCCTTCTCATGCCGCTGTGGAGTTGCATGCAGAGGCCTAGGAAGAGCAGGCCTGTCTAGACTTGCAGTCGGATGCGGCCGAAGCCGAATCCGAGGCCTCCTTGGCCTCTCATCCGTCTTCCTCGTCGCCTCCCTCGGCCTCGAGCCCTCCGCCTCCCCCTCCTCTTCCTCCTCCCCCTCCTCCCCCTCCTCCTCCTCCTCCTCCTCCTCCTCCCTCCTCCTCCTCCTCCTCCTCCTCCTCCTCCTCCTCCGCCTCTCCTCCCCCTCCTCCTCCTTCTGCTCCTCCTCCTCCTCCTCCTCCTCTTCCTCCTCCTCTTCCTCCTCCTCCTACTCTTCCTCCTCCTCCTCCTCCTTCTGCTCCTCCTCCTCCTTCTACTCCTTCTACTCCTTCTCCTGCTTTTTCTTCTTGCATACTGTGGTGTTGGATTTATGAGCGTGGCCGTCTGGGTCACCTTAATAAGGATATAACACAAAATCTATACTGCAGCGGGGCCGATACGTATCCGAGGGAAGTCGTATCATGTACCACTTGGGTATAATGTTGTATCCTCCTCTTCTCCCCCTTCTGTGGCTGGCGTTTGTTATACTTCTGGATTGGGCCAGGTTTAAAGGCAATTGCCGGCTCAAGGCAACTGCCGGCTCCAGGCGTTGCAGGCAGACCCCCCCCTTCTTTTGCCACGCCCCCTGGCGTCCTCGGTTTCTTTTCGTCCCCTCCTCCTGCCTCCTCTCTCCTCTCACCTCCCGCGGTGGATTTATTTACGTGGCCATTTGGGCCCTGGGGGATCTATAAATCTGCAGTTGCGCAACGGCTCGCCTATGACAGGTAGGCTTGCGCGCTGCTCCAGGATTATGTGTGTTGTCCACGCGCTGGGTCAGGAAGAAAACAGCTTTCAAATGCATCCGTTTTCTCCGTTGCTGCAGGTTGGCAGCGGGGGGCTCTTCGGCCAGCGAGGCGCCCAAAAAGAGCCACGCCTTGTTGTCGCAATGATGTTGTGCGATACCGAATGTTGTCGCTCGAGCTCGCATCTTGCTCTTCGTCCTCCACCTCCTCCTAATCCTCGTCCTTCTTCTGCAGGCTTCAATCGCACACGGTTTAAGAGTGGATGTGGATTTAGTGGCACTGCTGGGCGTATTGCCATCGATTGTCATTTTCTGCTCGCTACCACCGGTCCGCTGAGGTTTAGAAATGCTCCAGAATATGGAGCATCTGTCCGTCATTCTGGGGGAGTAACGGACTCCTGGCAGTCTTTCCCAGAGAACAACGAACTTTGGCTCATTATTCCCAAGGGATAATGTACCCTTGTCCGCCACTTCCCTGGAAGATCGGACCTTTACTCATGAATCCCAGGGAATCTTTAGCCTGTCTCCATTCGTCCTGAGGGTTCATCAAACCAGGAACGTAATTCCAAGGAGTCATGGGCCCCTGCCCATTTTTCCTGGCGAGCAAGAAAAACGTAAATTCTTTCTGGGAGATAAGGAGCCTTCGCTCATTATGCCCAAGGAAGAATGGACCATTGTCCATATTGGCTCAGATTTTACGAACCCTTGACCCTTGTCCATTATTCTTTTGGAGTAGTGGACCCGGGTTCGTTATTTCCAAAATTAGCCTCGTTATTATTTTCCCCATTGTACATGTTTCCCCGGGGATATCGAACTGCTGTTCATTATTCCAGGGCTATGAATGGTTATCTAGTCTTCCAGAGGAGTCCTGAACCTTGGCTCGTTATTTCCGGGGAATTACGGGCCCCTGCCCATCATTCCCCAAGACTATCGAACAGGTGTCCGTTCTTCCCGGGGAGTAGCGAACCCTTGTCAATTATTCCCAGTCCTGGAGGGCAAGAGACCTTGGCTCATCCCTCCGGGGAAGAGAAGAGGAGAAAAAAAAGGTCCATTATCCCCGGGGGAAAATCCGTTGGTTCACCATTCTAAAAAAATAAGCGCCTTTCACCTCCAGGGTTGTTTTTGTCACGTTTCCCGCCCTTCGTGGCCCGCCCGGTCAGCAAGCCCGGGCCCGGCGTCAATAATCAATCCCAATCCGCGAGTTAAGAATAACGAACCCCGATACATCAATGATTCTGGAATCATAATGGTTATCCTTCCTACTTGGCCGGCAAGCCCGCCCAATCCACCACTCGAGAATAACAAGCCCCATTTGATTATGTGGGAATCATAATGCTCTCCTCCCACACCTGGCCTGCGAGGTGGGAGTTCAATCATCAATCCCTAGGCACGATTCAAGAGTAGACCCTGTTCCTCGACTCCGGAATAACAAGAAGTCTCTCCTACCCCCCTTGGCCGGCGAGCCCGTACCTGGTCCAGCGCTTGCGTGTGTAGCGAAAGCGAGGTTTTAAATCATTGTGTAGACGCACAGAGAGCACAACAAACAACGAAGAAAGAAAGAGAGAGGGGAACCACATGAGAGAACACGAGGCGGAGAGATTCGTGGAGGAAATATATGTGTGCATGTGCGTAGTCTGACACATAAAGAGGATTGCGCAGGAGCTCCGCACACCGTTGCGGCCCACGTGCCAGGATGTACACGTGCATGAGGGAAGTCGGACATCATGTCATAATTGCCATGCTTCGATACATGCATACGCACGTCTGTCTGCAACGGGAGAAAGAGAGCGAGAGTCGCATCAAAACTACAGAGAGAGAGAGAGATTTTAAAAAGGAGGGGGAAAGAAAGGGGTAAAACGGATAACCACGTCCGAGCGAGATGTTGAAACAGATGCCAAGGTGGATGGAAGAAGACTACGATGACGAGTGCGCGGGCGAGGATGAGGACGGTGAGGAGGAGAAGGAAGAGGATAAAGCGCGGGAGGACTTGGAGGAGTTAGGGAGACTGAGGAGGAGCGAGGGGAGGAGGAGGGAGGGCGGAGGGGCAGGTACTGGATGTCCTTGCTGGTGAGCCTGGCCAGCGTCCTCCACTTCAGCACGCTGCTGCATGTCCCAGCCCTGCCCGTGCGGTGGGGCCGCAAGTGCATATCGCGGAGCTTGGGAGGCCCTGGGCTCGGTCCGGGTGGAGCGAGGAGGAGGAGGAGGAGGAGGAGGAGGAGGAAGAGGAGGAGGAGGAGGAGGAGGGGGGGGGGGGGATTCTCCCCCCCCCCGACAGGTTGGAGCTGTTAGTTTTGAAAAAGAAGACCTCCCGTCTGCCCACCCCTTGCATACCGGGGTCGCCAGACCCCGCAGGATCCCGATGATCCTTGAGTATCCCGCATCGCGTCCTCGACGAATGACGGCACCGTACCGCTGTCGCCAGACCCCGCAGGATCCAGAGTGTCCTTGGGTGCCCCGCCTCGCGTTCTCGACGAAGGACGACCCTCGCCTACCAGACAGCCCCGAGGGGGAGGCGTCACGACGTCGCGCCGGCCAGGCGTCACGACGCATGAGCTTAGAGGCGTGGAGAGCTGAAACCACGAGCATACAGCAAAAACATACACATAGATCAGAACGTACATAGTGTGGCATACAGTATCATAGCAGGGTGAACCACAGCCTAACACAGCACAATGTCAGAAACACAACCTAGCACAGCCTATTACAGCATTCCGTGTCGTAACCGTGTCATAACACCACATCAGGTCACAACGTAAAACAAGCTAACGTAACATAATACAACAGACCGAATAACAGAACGATAGAACGGATAATGAAAGAGCGCGTTATAAACTACCTATACGACCACCTTTCGGGTGATAAGGAGGTTGGGGGGGGAGGAACCAACGTCTCACTCGACCGATCTCACAGTCGGTCTCGCCCGATCGATCTCACAATCGACCTCACTCGATCTATTTCATTCGATCGATCTCACATTTGATGTGACCATCGATCTCACTATCGATATCAAAATATATTTCACATTCGGTACCACTATCGATATCACAATCGATCTCACAATCAACGTCATCACCATCAACATCATCGTCATCAACGTCATCAACCTGATCATCATCATCATCATCATCATCACCATCATCATCATCATTGGGACAGCATCATCATCATTTTCACGCCATCACCAACATCATCAACATCATCATCATCATCATCACCAGCATCATCATCGTGACACCATCATCGTCACCATCATCATCATCATCAACTTCATCACCATCGGGACACCACCATCATCATCATCATCATCATCATCATCATCGTCATCGGAACAGCACCACCACCATCACCATCATTCCATCACCATCACGAGCAATACCACCAACATCATCAGCATCATCAGGATACCATCATCACCGTCATCAGCAACATCGTCATCATGAACATCATCATCGGGACACAAGCATCATCGTCACCATCATCATCAGCATCATCCTCATCGGGACACCTTCATCATCACCAACAGCAGCATCATCATCATCGGGACACCATCAGCATCGTCACCAGCAGTACCGTCATTAACATCATCATCATCGGGACACAATCATCATCGTCACCATCATCATCATCACCATCATCATCGGGACACCATCATCATCATCAACATCAGCATCACCATCATCGGGTCACCATCATCAAAATCATCACCATCACCTCATCATCATCTTCATCATCAACATCATCATCATCAACATCATCATCATCGGGACATCATCATCGTCATCATCATCAACATCATCATCGCAACATCACCATCATCATTACCATCATCATCATAATCAACAGCATGATCATCAACCTCATCATCATCACCATCATCGGAACACCATCATCATCAGAATCACCTCATCATCCCATCAGCATCAGCATCATCAGGACCATCAACACCATCATCATCATCATCGGAACACCATCGTCATCACCATCATCATCAACAGCAGCATTTAACATCATCATCTTCATCACCCCCATCATCTCATCATCTCATCATCACCAACACAATCATGATCATCAACACCATCATCATTGGGACACCATCAGCAACATCAGCATCATCAACATCATCATCATTGGGACACAATCATCATCACCACCATGGCCATCATCATCATCATCATCAACAACATCGTCATCATCATCATCATCATCATCATCATCATCATCATCATCATCATCATCGTCGGGACACCGACGGGACACCAGCGGGACACCAGCGGGACACCGCGCGCCACTGGCCCCCGGACAGGAAACATTTGGTCCGGCCGCGCTTCAGCCAGAGGCGGGACACTTCTCGCCCGCCCACGCAGCTTCGCCTCGCCCGCACGCACGGCACGCACGAACACGAAACCGAAACCGATTTCCCGGTAGGACGGCTCTCCGTTCCACTTCGATCTCACCCCCTCAACTCCGACAAATGAGCACAGCAGATTTGATCTACGATTGCTGCCACTACGACAACGCCTACAACAGAAAATCGCAGAGTCAAACATCGATCAGGCGCTCGCGGCCGAGATCGAAGGGCGCCCTCGAGGGCGCGAAGTTACTCACGCTTCGCGCTTCGGCTCCGATTCCTCCTCTTCCTCCTTTTCTCCCCCTGGGGGGGGCGGCGCCCTGCCCGCCCGAGCTGCGCTGAAGCACGCGGCAGAGACCCTCGCGCGAGGTGCGGCGGGGGACCCAGACAGGGCTGCGTCGTAAAAACAAATTGGGATTGATGTTGTTCGGTGTTTTCGGCATCCTCCTCCTCCTCCTCCTCTTCCTCCTCCTCCTCCTCGGAGGCCCTCGCCGGGCCCTGGGGCAGTCAAAAAACGATTCGGGATGAAGAGCTGGTCCCGGGGAAGGGGTCGGGACTCCCCTGAACGCCGCGCTAAAAAAAATCAGGACGTCGCGTGTCTGGGAAGGTAGAGCTGATGGTGCGAGTCGGGTTTTGGAGGAACGCGCTGGTGCCGCGGAGCGCGTTGCGACCTCCCGTAGAGGGCTTGGATCGGGCTGCGAGCCTGAGTGGCGCTGACCGGTCGGACAGGAGACAGTTGGAAGATCGTCGGGCGTCGGGCGGCTTCAGCCGCGCGTCCGAGTCGAGCAAGAAGCTGCCCAGAACAGCCGATGTCGGCAACCGCATCAGGCTGCGGCCTCCTGCGGACGGATGCGGACATCGCCGTGGCCGCGTTCGCGGCCATCGGCGAGGGGGGGCCTGGGCGAGGTTGCCGCGGGAGGAGCCTGCATGCCGAGTTGCCCTTCCGCTTGCAAGCCAAACTTCAAGGACCAAGGTGCATGGTGCGAAGCGCCAATTCATTCTTGAGTATATTTATATACAATATATATTATAATATAATAGAATACAATATAAGACAATATAATAAAATACAAATATACTATACAATAAAGTAATATAACATAATATAATACAATATAAAATGCAAGATAATCTAATATAATATAGTATCGCATAATATCATAGTTTATAATGTAATATAGTATAATATAATACAATATGATACAATCTAATGTAGTATGATATACTATAATATAATATAATATGGTATCACAAGCATATAATGTAATGTAATATAAGGTAATATCATATAAAATGAAATAATATGCTAGAATATGTTATACCATAATATAATATAATATACTATAATATACTATACTGTACTATAATATAATATAATACGATATAATACGATATAGTATAGTATAATATAATACAATGCAATACAATGCAATACAAAACACACTATGATATACTATAGTATAACATTATACAATACGGTATAATACAATATGCAAATACTACAATATAGTATACTATGAAATAATATAGTGTAATAGAATGTAACATAATAGAATGGTATATAATAGAGTAGAAGGATATTGTAACATACTAGAATATAACAGACTATCATATAACAGAATACGATATAATATAATATAATATAATAGGATGTAATATACGATACGATAATATAATGTAACGCCTTGTGATATCATATAAGATAATACAGTACAGTATAGTATTGCAAAATGTGATATGATACAATGCAATACAATACAACGTAATATAATATAGTATATACAATATACTAGGATATGATGTAACATGACATGATATCTTATAATATGTTTTCGTATAATACCATATAAAATTATATGTCAATTTGCAATATACTGGAATATTATATTGCATAAAGTAAAGTAATGTAATATAAGATAAGATATTGAATTTGAACATGATTCAATATCACAATGTAGATTACTATGTATCATGATGTGATATAATACTAGTGGAATATAATATTGAATAACCTATTATGATATAATATAGCGTGATATAATATTTTATAATATAACGGATTATAATATCATATTATATAATGTAATGTAATATAAGTTGCATTGCCCCGGCAACCGGGGTTCCCCGTTCGAGTTGGCGCCGAAGACGCTATCTGAAGACGCTATTCTTTGTGAAGACACGCCTTGTGAAGGCGCTATTCAAGGTGGAGACACTATTCCCAGTGAAGACGCTATTCCTTGTGAAGACGCGTTCTGCGGACACAGACAGCACTGCCTTTATGAAGACGCTATTCCTTGTGAACACGCTATTTCTTGTTAAGACGCTATTCCTTGTGAAGACGCTATCCCCAGTGAAGACGTTATTCCCAGTGAAGACGCTATTCCCAGGGAAGACGCTATTCCCTGTGAGGGCGTTATTCCGGCAGACGACGCTATTCTTTGTGAAGGCGCTATTCCGGGTGAAGACGCTATTCCTTGTGAAGACGCTATTCCCGGTGAAGACGCTATCCTGGGTGACGACGCTAGTCCCTGTGAAGACGCTATTCCTGTTGAATACGCTATTTCTGGTGAAGACGCTATTCTCGGTGAATATTCTGTTCTTGGTGCAGACGCTATTCCCTGTGAAGACGCTATTCTTTGTAAAAACGCTATTCCCGGTGGAGACGCTATTCCTTGTGAGGACGCTATTCTTGTAGAAGACGCTATTCCGGGTGAAGACGCTATTCCCTGTGTTGGTGAAGACGCTACTCCAGGTGCAGACGTTAATCTCGGTGGAGACGCTATTCTCGGTGAAGACGCTATTCCGTGTGAAGACGCTATTCTGGATGAAGACGCTGTCCCCTGTGAAGATGCTTCTTCTCTTCACCAGGCCCAGTACTCAACGCGCTCCCCTCCCATTTGTAATTTGAATGTGCAATGTTACTCTAACTACGCTTTCCGTGTCCAGCACAACACGTGCCCCATCTGTTGTGCGACACCCTCTGCTAGGCAAGACCCCTCCCCAAGTTGTTTAAAGCAGAGTCCTTGGTGCCAGACATGCCCCATCTGCTGTGCAACACCCTCTGCTGGGAAAGACCCCTCCCGCAGGACCCCTCCCCAAGTTGATTAAAACAGAATCCTTGGTGCTAGACGCGCCCCATCTGCTGTGTTGCACCCTCTGCTAGGCAGGGCACCTCTCCATGTTGATTAAAAAAGAATCCTTGGTGCTAGACGTGCCCCAGGTGCTGTGCGGCACCCTCTGATAGGCAAGACCATTTCCCAAGTTGATTAAAACAGAATCCTGGGTGCTAGGCGTCCCCCACACCTGCTGTGCGGCACCTTCTACTTGGCAAGACCCCTCCCCAAGTTGATGGAAAAAACAAAGAAAAAAAGGCGCTAGGCATGCCCCATCTGGTGTGTGGCACCCTCTGCTAGGCAAAGGCCCTCCCCTAGTTGATTAGGACAGAATCCTCGGTGCCAGACGTGCCCCAGCTACTGTGCGGCACCCTCTGCTAGGCAAGACCCCTCCCCAAGTTGATTGAAACAGAATCTTTGGTGCTAGGCGTGCCCAACCTGCTATGCGGCATCTTCTGCTACCCATGACCCCTCCCCAAGTTGATTTAAAAAGAATGGTTGGTGCTAGACGTGCCACATCTGCTGTGCGGCACCTTGTGTTAGGCAAGACCCCTCCCCAAGTTCATTAAAAAAGAATCATTGGTGCAAGACGTGCCCCATTTGCTGTGTGGCACCCTTTGTTAGGCAATTGCCCTCCCCAAGTTGATTCAAACAGAATCCTTGGTGCTAGGCGTGCCCCATCTGTTTTGCGGCACCTTCTGCTAGGCAAGACCCTTCCCCAAGTTGATTAAAAAGGAACAGTTGGTGCTAGATGCGCCCCTTTGCTGTGTGGCACCCTCTCCAAGGTGAGCCCCTTTGCTGTGCTGCACCTTCTGCTAGGCACGACCCCTCCCCAAGTTGACGAAAAAAGAATTATTGGTGCTAGACATTCCGTTTTTGCTGTGCGGCACCTTATGCTAGGCAAGACCCCTCGCTAAGTTGACTAAAACAGAGTCCCTGGTGCTAGACATGCCCCCTTCGCTGTGCGGCACCCTCTGATAGGTCAGAGCCCTCCCAAAATTGATTGGAAAAAATCATTGGTGCCAGGCGTGCACCACCTGCTGTGCGGCACCTTCTGCTAGGCAAGATTCCTCCACAAGTTGACAAAAAATGAACCCTTGGTGTTAGATGTGCCCCTTTGCTGTGCGGCACCCTCTCCAAGGTGAGCCCCTTTGTTGTGCGGCACCTTCTGCTAGGCAAGACCCCTTTTCCAAGTTGATTAAAACAGAATCCCTGGTGCTAGACATGCCCTGTTGCTGCGCGGCACCCTATGCTAGGCGAGATCCCTCGCCAAGTTGATTAAAACCGAATATTTGGTGCTAGACATGCCCCTTCGCTGTGCGGCACCCTCTGATAGGCAAGAGCCCTCCCCAAATTGATTGAAAAAAATCATTGGTGCCAGGCGTGCACTACCTGCTGTGCGGCACCTTCTGCTGGGCAAGACTCCTCCACAAATTGATAAAAAATGAACCCTTGGTGCTAGACGTGCCCCATCTGCTGTGCGGCACCTTGTGCTAGGCAAGACCCCTTTCCAAGTTGATCTAAAAAATCCTTGGTGCAAGACGTGCCCCATCTGCTGTGCGGCACCCTTTGTTAGGCACTGCCCACCGGTGAGGCGTTTAAGGAGCACCACGGTCGCACGCAGCCAGCCTAGCTGTGCACCCCAGAGGATGAGGCCGAGGCAAAATAGAAGCGTCAAGCCGAATAGAGGCGTCATGAGCTTCATCTGGCGTCAGGGGAATAGAGGCTTCAGGCCGAAGAGAGGCTTCACGAGCTTCACACGGGGTCAGGGGAATAGAGGCAGGCTTCAGGCCGGATAGAGGCTTCACGAGCTTCACTGGGCGTCAGGGGAATAGACGCTTCAGGCCAAATAGAGGCTTCACGAGCTTCAATGGGCGTCAGGGGAATAGACGCTTCAGGCCGAATAGAGTCTTCACGAGCTTCAATGGGCGTCAGGGGAATAGAGGCTTCAGGCCGAATAGAGGCGTCACGAGCTTCAATGGGCGTCAGGGGAAAAGAGGCTTCAGGCCGAATAGAGGCGTCACGAGCCTCACCAGGCGTCAGGGGAATAGAGGCTTCAGGCCGAATAGAGGCTCCACGAGCTTCAATGGGCGGCAGGGAGTAGAGGCTTCAGGCCGAATAGAGGCTTCACGCACCTCAAGGGGCGTCAGGGGAATTGAAGCTTCAGGCCGAATAGAGGCTTCACTAGCTTCAATGGGCGTCAGGGAATTGAGAGGTTTCAGGCCGAACAGAGGCTTCACGAGGTTCAATGGGCGTCAGGGGAAAAGAAGCTTCAGGCCTAATAGAGGCGTCTAGGGTCGCCACCCCACCAGTGCGTCGCAATTCGTAAGCCGAATAGAGGCATCACGGGCCGAATGCAGGCTTCAGGCCGAATGGAGGCTTCAGGCCGAATGGAGGCGTCGCGAGCTTCACCAGGCGTCAGCGGAATAGAGGGGTCACCGCAGCTCCTTGGGCGAATAGAGTCTTCAAATAGCGTCTTCGGCGCCGGCTCGAACGGGGAACCCCCCGAGCCAGGCTTCTGCATATATATAGATATATATATATATATATATATACATACATACATACATACATGCATGCATGCATGCATGCATGCATGCATGCATGCATATATATATATACACACACATATACCGGGTACTGGAACATATACATTACCAGTGGCGGGTTGTTTTTCAATCCCAGGGCCTTTCGAGGGTCGGGGACGACGTCGGTGTCGTGTGGCGTATACTGGTTTCCGCATTTCCCAGGGGAAACAGCGACAAATGTATACACCAGGATCCCGTATACACCAGGATCCGCTCTTCCTGTGCGAGTTTCGGTGCGGAGCCGGAAATAGCTTCGGTGTATAGAGTTCGGTTCTTTGATGTATGGATATGTGTAACCAAAGGCGTGATCGGTTCGGCAGCACTTCGGCGTTGCAGTTGGATAAAGGCTTAGCTGTCCAGCGGCATTCGCATTTGAAATGACTGCCCGACCCACATTGTGCTCCACAAGGCAGCAAGGCGCTTGTGAGGGTGAGATAGAAAGGATCTTCTGTGTTCGTTCGCGTGTTCGTCGTCGCCATTGGGTTACGCATGCGCGCAGGAAAACTTCGAGCGGCATGCTTCAATGCATTAACATTCCCCCCTCATCCTCATATTGTCTCTCCGTTTCCTCACACGGCGCCCCTCGGATATCAGCAAAGCACCGATTCCGAGGCATCAACTTTGTTTTGAAGCGGACCGCGAACTTCTTCACGATGTGCACAATGGACGAGGACCTCGTTATCCTTCATCCTCCTGAACCTACTCCTCCTAGTATTTCTCCCTCCTCTTCTGCTCTCCTCCTTCTCCTCCTGGAGGCCTCCTCATCTCATAGTCCACTGACTCTGTCGACGCCTCTTCCTCGAGGAGTACATTAGACGGAAGAGGGAGCAGCTCGGGAAGAAGACGGAGCACAGGACGGCGCGGCCGATCTTTTTTCTTCGCGGACTTGCTTGCAAGTCTTTGTCACGTGGTCGATTCAATTCTTCAATAGGGCGAGGGCGAGGATGAGGAGGAGAGAGGGACGAGAGCAGGGGAGAGGGGAAGGCGGCGGCGGAGCGAGGAGAATGGGGGAGGAGGAAAGAGGAGAGAGAAGCGAGGAGGGAGAATTTGTGGCTGCGCTGCTGACGTCACGAAGCTCACGAAAGTACCAATATCTACGCGGCGCACACGAGGAGGGAGGGAAGGAGGGAGGGAGGCATGCATATTCTGATGCATTGACGGCAGATGCGTGTTTTCATGTGGAAGTAGGTAGCAGACCGAAGCGGCAGCTGAGCTGCCAGCAGGAGTGGTTGCCCCACACCACTGGAGGAAGCGACGGCGATGCAGCTTCGCGTCGACATGGCAAGGGGGATAGCTTGCGTGAAGAAGGGCAAAGGACGCAGGCAAACTCACTCACACTCGCAAGACATGCGCCATGTGGCGCGTGGGTGGAAAATCGAGCTCAAGCAGTCACAAACGGGAACAGATGCAACGCTGCGCCGGCTAAAAAGAGCAAGACAAGGAGGAAGAGGAAGAGCAGGAGGAGGAGGAGGCGGAGGAGGAGGAAGAGGAGGAGGAGGAGGAGGGCGGAGGAGGAGGAGGAGGAGGAGAAGGAGCAGGAGCAGGAGCGGGAGCAGGAACACGAGCGGGAGCAGGAGCAGGAGCGGGAGCAGGAGCGGGAGCGGGAGCAGCAATTCTCGCTCTGGAGGCAGGGACACCGCGCGCCGGAGGGCAGTGCTCGCCGCCGCCGTGGCCAGCGGAGCTGGGCGGCATAATGTGTGACATGCCGCCAGAAGTCAAGGGAGGAAAACTCGACCCGGACCCGACAATTGGCGTCTACTAAACGGCCCTGGGAGTTTACTAAACAGCCCTACCCTGTTTGATTTTTTTTTTGGGGTGCGTTTGCTAAACGGCCTCGCGTGACGGGGGTGGTTATTATCGGGGTGGATTTTCTGCCCTCTGAGAAGCAGCGTGCTCGCGCCGCGCGGTCGGCACGCACGGGGACTGTAACTGCGAAGCCTCCAGGAAGGGCCTCGCCTTCGGCGACCCTCGCCCTCGGCGGAGGCAAGAGCCAACGGCACGAGCAC